CATCTACGTATCGCAAACAGAACGATAACTAGTCTTTGTGTGAGATATCAATTGTACTATGAAGTATAATACCACAGAAGTGGCCATTTGTAACTTCCGACAGTATCACGCGCGTAACCTCAGAAAGTGCTCTTATAAAGTCATTCTGAATCTTAGGGCTCATGTACATAGTATTTCCAGGACTAGTGGCGATGTATTTTGCCAATACTCCATCGTATTTGGTCAGAAGACTAACTAACTCCAAAAAGTTAGAAGTCATTTGAAGTTTCTACCTTGCTCATACAACTGAACCGAGTTTCATTATGTCCTCGAAATGAAAGGTTCTGTTTGGCCAAAAATTTTACGTCAAGCAAACGATGTAACACCTTTCTATTGTGCTCAATTTGCTGCTCATATGCTCGGATTTGCACTTGGTTTACAGCCATGCAAAGATTTTGACGTTTGTTGGTCGCTACAAATTGTCTTACAGAATTTAGATGGATAGATGACTGTTCGTGAGCGCGAAATTTCTCTGTAGCTTTATTCCACTTGCAAAATCCATGCTCAGGGTCTATAAATGCTGGATCAATGTGATTATCACCTTTATCTGCCATCTAACAGCCAACATGAAAAACACTATGGGTAGTCTTTTTCTGATGAATATACAAGCTGATATCTAGAAGATTTAAGGCCATTTTTCATATCTCTATAATACCATGCCAGTCGGAATGATCTCTTAAATTTATTTTGAGGAAAGTTAAAATTTTTCCTTGCAGTCCGGGCCGAGTTGACATGCGCCTTTTTCTAGAATTGCCCGAATAACCTCTGGTGTCATTAATTTGTTCACAAACAATGCTGGATCAGTTAGAAAAGAATTTGTAGAATCCAGCAATGGAGAAATCGATGGTTTCTGGATTTCTTCATCTGGAGTTGATGTCCATGTCTGCAGGCTCCAGTGGAGTTGGCTTACTTGGCACTTGTGGGTGAATTTCTGTATCTTTGTCATCTTGTAGGTTGAAATGGATTCTGATTGCTGTTTCTGTAGGGTCGGTTTCTTCGATATCACTGCTATCATCACGTTGGCCCTGTTTAATAATCAAAATAGAAATATTACTATTGGAAACGTCCAATTCGGCGATTCTGTTTCATTCATATGCAACAAATATTCATTATCATTACTGAGCCGCCGATATATTGATAATTCTCTTTATTATGTCTAGTAACAATTCCAGAAGTGGTTTGGGTTACTTTGATATTCCTAATTCTTTTAAAGTCAGGCTCCGGAGGAAATGAAAATTTATATGTTGTAGAACTGATTTTTCAAAGACGGAAAAAGTAGTTTGATCAAAAACTAAGCAACGATGAACGAGACACAGATTTTTGAATATTTAAAAACTGGGGGAAAAACTAAATGTTCAATAATCTGTGAAATCAGTTCTACAACACATCAATTTTTTTTCCCTCCGGAGTCTGCCAATTTATTGTAACTTAGGGGTGTTTTTGTGTCAGGAACATGATAGCTGGAAATCACTCACAGACTAATGCCAGGCTCCTTAAGAGGAAATTTCTTTGTTTTTATATATGTTGTAGTACTAATTATTTTAAGACACAAAAAAGCATATTCGATGAAAAAATCGAAAGCGGTTAGTGAGATACAGATCTTTTAATATAAAAAAAAAAACTGTAAGTAATGGTCCGTACCTCCTTCTTTCCCCCATTTTTAAATAATCAAAAATCTGTATCTTAACAGCCGCTTCCGAGTGTTTTGTCAAATATGCTTGTCGTGTCTTAGAAAAATCAGTTCTACAACACTACAAAAATAATTTTCCTCTGAAGCATAGCTTTAACTGACACTATATTAAAGGCATAGATTAATAATTTTGGCATTGTAAAACGGAAAACAAGAAGGGGTTGTAGAGCAGGCAAAAGAATCCAAGCACGTAAAAAAAATAAACTATACTGTAATACCAAGACCAAAAGTAACTAATGAAATCCAAGCTAAACGGAAGAGAAGATTCACACCATTTCTTCTAAGGATTCTTGTCACGAATGCTAGGTCCATTCTAAATAAGACCGATGAACTGTACATGCTGATCATCGATAAGCAACCTGATATTGTTTGTATATGTGAATCGTGGATCAAGTCTAATACAGCTGTAGAGAGATATGCCATTGATCGATACAATGTTGTTAATGATTGTAGCAATCTTACAAAAGGGGGCGGAGTCCTAACGTATGTCAGAGATAACATTTCAACTGAGAGTATTATATATGTAGCAGTTCCTGATAATCTGGAGGCGCAATAGCTACTACTCAAACATCCAAAATTACCACGTGAGGCACCACACATTATATTGGCTAATGTCTATTTCCCGTCCGGAGCAATGCTGCCACATTTACACACTGGTATTGATATTATGCGAGTTCAAAAACCCCAAGCTGGAATTTTTATTTGTGGAGACCTGAATCGACTAAATTATAAATCCCTGTGTTCTGGCAATAAGCTGTGCCAGATAGTAAAAAATCCAACTGGAGGAAACAAAATTCTTGATGTTGTATTTACTAATATTAAAGGGCTATATAAACGACCTGAAGTATTCGCCCCCTTGGTTGCAGTGACCATAATATAATTGAAGTAGTGCCAATTGTAGCTTTGAGCAACATTATTATTAGGAGAACAGTTAGACATGCCTGATTCCAAGATTCGCGACTTCGGCCGCTGGGCTCAACAACAATCCTGGAATACTGTACTACAAGCCAACAGCACACAAGTTAAGCAAATGCATTCTATGAGCTAATAATTTAGGCCATTGAAACCCTCGTCCCACTAAAAGTAATCAAGTCTCATGTTACAGATAAGCCATGGATTAAACAACACATCAAGGACATGATGAAGAAAAGACAACAAGCATTTTCAATAAATGACTTACAACTTTTCGAAAGGTTGAAGAATAAATTTGCGTATGATATTAGGAAAGCAAAGTGTGCTTTCAATGCATGTAAACTAAGACCTCATTTCTATATTGTTTAATTAAATTGTTTTGTAACCATTATTATACTGTACTGCAATTAACAATCATATCACCACTACACTGTCGTAGGCTACAGGCAATCAACATGAAATTCAAGTGTCAATCAACTTTTTATTCAATAATTATCTGTCTGTATCATTAATAAAAGGTAATGTGGTTATGACGCTCGCCTTGTCAGCGAGAGGTCGCAGGTTCGAATCCCGTCGGAGGCATTTTATTACACAATATTTTTTCATAGGACTTTATTCGTTGAAAAGCTACAAGGTAGCCAACGATGTTCCCTCATGTCCTTATTAAACATTGTATATGTACCTCAGTTAGATGTTGGTTACTCTGTATCAAGCACTTTAATGATGATGAGCTCAATGCCAGAGGCCCAACCTCAACCAGGTCATGTGACTTTCCACAGGTCCTTGGATGTTGAAATTTAATAGGGGCCTACTTTTCTGTGCAGGTAACAATAATAATAATAATAATAATAATAATAATAATAGGTCAATTTATAAGGCGCAAATAAACAAGATGTAATAATAATAATAATAATAATAATAATAATAATAATAATAATAATAATAATAATAATAATAATAATAATAATAATTATACTAATAATGACATTGCAGCGTTTGTAAAATGCTTGTCACTGGTGCTGGTAGCAGTCACAAAAGTGGGGGGGGGGGAGGCCCCCGGCCCCCGCGCTTCTGCCGCCGTTGCTTCATGGGTAGTGTGCAGCAAGGCCCTAGGCCTAGCCTCAAAATACAACATGAATAACCTAGGTTAGGCCTAGGCCAACATGAATAATTATAATATGTATTTAATTATAGTGATATTAATAATAATTGTAAAAGATATAAAAGACAACATTACTGCAAGCTACGTACTAGTCTTTTTGTTAATGTTTAGTCTAAGTAGCAGTCGATCTAGTTGCGAAAAAGATGCTATTTCGGAGACTGTACATGTTAGATAAATCAAAAGTTTCGCGCCGCCGTCAGAAAAGTTTCATGTTTCTGTGCTAAAAATAACCTTGTCGCCGCTTAAAATATTCTCCCTTCAACCTTATAAATTGTCTTGTCCTTACGGCGAATTGTCACCCGAATTGTCTTGTCTGTACGGCGAATTTGTCTTGTCTGTACGGCGAAAATTATCTTGTCCATACGGAAATTTGTATTGTCTTTACGGCAGTTTGTATTGTCCTTACGGCAATTTTTATTGTCCTTCTGCGTGAGAGCAAGGCAATTCATCAGAAGGACGTCGCACATCTCGGGACATCAAACGTTTTAACTCTGGCATCGACATTCTAGGCGCACGTGCGTCCCTACACGCTGAACGTCACAAAAACAAAAGCAACCAAACCATAAACCGCCGTCGTCGTGACGATTTACCTACGCGTGTGTTAGTTGCCATGATAATCGCGCGTCGTGCGGTGATTACAAAGGACTAATGGTATTTTGCACTAACATTAGACTGAAATATATTCTCCATTTCAACAATAATTTTACCAAAATTGTGGTGAATTGTCGTTCATGAGACTCACTTCGCAGTAAAAATCAATAAATGTCCTGTATATACTCAAATGTTCCTTTTCGGCACCTTATGCCAACATTGTCAAAATGACAGATTAATATTTCATAAGAACATGAAATTTTATAAAATTAGTAAAATTTAAATTGCTATAACTTTTCATTTTCTTTATCAATTTTCACAAATCAAATTGCAGTTTATAGAACCATTTAACAAGCTCGCGGTAAAAAAAAAATCAGATGTAACAGACATTACGAAGTACCCAAAATTAATAAATTAAAAACTAACACCATAAAACGAATGGCACGCATAGACTAATAATTGACGGCTGTACTCACAACTAGTACCGGATTGTTGATGCCACAGTAAAGATCAAAGGACTGTACGCACGCGCTATGTTCGAGAGCGGAGATGTGCGTCCTTCTGTTGAATTACCTTGGTGAGAGTGGGATTATACCAAAGAGTATAAATATTTATACTCTTTGATTATACGTACGCCAATGTTTGTCTATTTTGGCCCTAATGGCCGCCCATACTCTGACACCGACGAGAAGCTGACAAAACATGTGCAAAGCAGGAAAGTGAATAAAAGTCAAGTTTTCGGGAAGGTGGAGTATATGTTTTTTTTCTTTTTTTCCCCTTTTTTCCCCTCTATTACTAAGGTGTAAATATATAATAGGTACAGCTTGCCTGTACTAGGCCTAGGCCTATGTAGCCAGGCTAGGCCAGGCTAGCATTTGGGCAGGCTAGGCTATATTTATCCGTAGGCCTAGGCTAGTCTTTTCTAGATGGCTGGCCTAGCCTTGGGCCTATTAAGGCCCATTTCTAGTAGTAGTGCTAGCCAGGATATTTGATATTATTAACAAGATTGTTCATCAAAATATTGATCTAAAGTTTGATAACCACCTAGGCCTAGCGAGGTAGGCCTAGAATTCAACAGACGAGCAACTGCTGCTAGGGGGTCCTACTAAAAAACGCCCGGGGCGCCCGGAGACGCCCGGGGCGCCCGGAGCTCCCGGAGACGCCCGGGGCTCCCGGAGACGCCCGGCGCCTGGATGGACGGCATGTAAGTTATAAACGGCTGTGATACGGCCAGAGAAATACCAGGCCTAGGCCTAGGCAGGAGAACAGGAGGAGCCTAGCTAGGAGGACTGGAGATATTAATTATTTGTTAAGAAGACTGCAAATATTGAATCGGTTAATATTTAGCTAGGCCCCTAATATCTTGATCAAAATATTCATTTTCTTTTATTTTTTCAGGAACCCAGGCCTACTACAGTAGGGCCTACTACTGTAGTAGGCCCTACCCAAGAATAAGAAGCCTGTCAGCTGAATATTAAATGCAACATGGATTCTAGGTATTAAATAGTTTTACAATGCAAACAACTAAGTACAGATAAAGACAAGAATACCATACTACATAGGCATTAAGATATAAATTAAAGGAATTTAAGCTAAAACACTAAGAATACTAGGATATGAACATTTTATAATTAAATATAAAATTAGTTACTGAATAGTACCGTATATACTCATGTACAAGACACTCCCTGAGTTTGAAAAGATTTCTGGACCATTTGTTTCATCGTCGGAATTTCTACTTTTTTTTTCTGCTTTTTATGGGCTTGATACTACATCTAGCTGGCTAAAAACAGAGCCAGTGCAAGGCTGATCTTGAAAAATATGAGTTTTTTTAAATGTTCTTCAAAATCTCATTTGCTCGTATTTAAAGTTGCATTCACTCATACTGACAAGTACAGTAGTAGCTTCATTGCAGTAGTAAATTCATGTGAAATAATAAATCTAGAATTTGTATGTCGTGCGTATAAGATCACTGCCTGTTTTTTGATCGTTATTTTCTATTTTAAGCCGTCTTACATGCGAGATATTATAAGGTACTCTATATTAAATTAGACAAGATTTTTTTTATACCTTGTTTCGTAAACTTGTAAGTAAGCTCAGTCGGCTAATCTGGTGGTAGCCACTGTGTGTGCACTGAACCGTGGAGATCTCTTGTTCCCCGGTCCAATTCCCATCGCTGCCTCTCCTTATATTTCAGCTGGAGGGCTGAAATACAAGTTATAACAGCGCACCATCTTTCGGATGAGACTTTTAAACCGTTGGTCCTGTGTGCATTATGGCCCACGTGCACGTTAAAGAACGCTGTACACTCTTCGGAAAAGAATAGGGGATTGTCTCCCGGTGTACTGCCCAATCACCACCAGAAGGACCCCACTGGAAATATGTCTTCTTCTAGACTTTCGTGGGCTATCCTTGGTGTTTACACACCAAATAAATCCAATCCAATCCAAATATGGATTATTTTTTTTTTAAAGATAATCGGAGGAGGGTGGAATAAAAAAAAAAAAAATGTTTTCTTATTTAGCAAAAACATCCAGATGGAGGAGAAAATAAAAATAAAATTGTATTGGTGAATGTAAAATGGGATAGTCAAATGCTTCAAACATATAAATTAGGAAGAAGTATACATATTTTATCTTTAGAGATTTCAAGAAGGCATAGGGCGTAATAAAAATTTAAAAAAAAACTTTAAATTTTTTGTGGCGGTGCCCTAAAATGAAATTTTATTTTTATTCGAAATCATCAGTATTTGCATTCGGCGGATTCGCTAAACAAGGTATAAGAAAAGTCTCGCCTTGTGATGACATCACATGAACACCATATCGTCGCTAACATCACGAACTAACACAATTAAATTCAATTGTGTTAGTCCGTGAAATAAAAAAAGCGCGTCAAAATACGCGCTGTTGTCGTTAAGGACTTTTTTTGTGGTAAAGAATACAAAATTGCTTGACAACCAATACGCGCTCGTTTTGACGCGCTACTGTGATTTCACGAACTAACATAATCTACTTTGATTGTGTTAGTTCGTGATGTGGGTGACGATATAGGCACCGCATGACTATATTTGGGCATACAACAATTTTTTGTCAAAGGAAATTTTATAGTGTGTGCAGATCTTCCAAAAACACATGCTTATGAAAATTATTATTTTTTATTTTTCTTTTTTTATCTATTCAGCATTTATTTGTTGCAAATGGTGGTTTATTAAATCAAGTCCAGCATCATGAGATATGTGAATTGTTTGGCCAGTACGGTGGTTTGCAAAAAGTGTCGATGGTTTCTGGGAAGTCGTACTGTTTCGTCAGTTTTACCGAGTCCGCTTTTGCGAAGGCAGCTTTAGAGAACTTGCAGGCTTATGAATTGCATGATAAGCAGGGACCAGAGAAGGTCATCCTTTACTTGATGTACATTAACCAAGGTATGCAACCCATACCACAGGTGGGCATTAATTATGCAACCAATACCACAGTGGGCAGGTATATACTGTACTGTACTGCAGGTGGGCAGGTATGCAACCCGTACTCACAGATGAGCAGGTACTTTATGCAACCCATTCCACATATGGGCAGGTATGAAACCCTTACCACAGTTGGGCAGGTATATACCGTAATTCATACCACAAGGGGGTAGGTATGCAATCCATAGCACAGGTGGGCAGGTATGCAACCCATACCACAGGTGGACAGGTGAAAACCCATAAAACCACAGGTGGGCAGGTAAGCAACCCACACCATAGTTAGCAAAGTGTACAGTATCACATCAATTGTACTGTATACGCCTACTCATAATGATATTTATTTATATTCAGTTAAGACATATGTCCATACATTTAACATAAAACCATTTTTTTATATTGAATTTATTTATTGTTATACATGATAATGATAAAAGTGATAAAAGCACTTCTAGTAAAAATAGAAAATTATATTCATATTGAAGTGTGAAAATGCCATTTCCAGCCATCTAGAGGTGCCATAATCATTCATAAATAGGTTCTTACCTTGGCTCCAACCATCTAGTGGTCTACACTCTCCATCCGTAAAAATTCTCTCCCTGTGGATCCCTGTATTTTGAATTCCTGGATCCGCCACTTAATATTACCCCTTCTCTGGAGTACTTTGTTTGCATGGGATGTTGGAATACAAAACATTAAAAAAGTTCATGAATTTCTCAGTACCTGAGGAGGTTAATAAAACAATCTGGTTTTAGCGCTTTTTATACCGCCCCTTTTATTTTAGTTCCTGAGCATGTAATGAACACTCCTGACCCCATGGCTTTACCCCCTGGTCTTGCTTTGGTCTTTGACTTTATTGATGAGGCAATGGAAGAGCAACTTCTTGACAGCCTTCGGTGGGAAGCCAGTGCACATGCAACAGGTTAGTAACCAAAGATTTTTTGTTTTGTTTTGTTTTTAATTTGATAAGAAACTGATAAAGTATGCACTTATTAAATTATGAACATTATATATGAACATTCAATAAATAAATTGAAAAGAATATAATTGCAAAGTCAGCTTCCAGCAGAGTGAATCCAGTTACTTTCCTAAAACATCACTAAGTTAGTCTTGTAGTAGACCTTGTGTTAAAATGTGGTTCTTAGTAAACAAACAAAATATAAAAAGTAGCCTCGAAAAGAAGCCCATGTTCTTTTCAAGAAAGCATGGGCTTCATTTTGAGATAGTACAGTACATACACTGTGAATCAATTTTAAAGAAACAATAAAAAAAAAAAACATGCTTGGTTTACACAGTAGTTTAGCTGATTTAATGCTGGTTAATAAACTCCATGATGTTATAGCACTTGACCCTATTTACAGTATTGTTTTTATATTGTAGTAATACCCAAAATTTACAGCATTAATTTTGAAAAGAAGCCCCCTTGTTTACTTTGCAAAAGTAGTTTGAAAAAGAAGCACATCTCAAAAACAATCTATTCTCGAAAAAAAGAGGCCCATCCACAAAGTTGCAAAAAATTAAAGAGTATGGCTTCTATTCAAGGTTTTATGGTATATTACTGTAGGACCTACTATTCTTTTTTGTTGTTTTTCTTTCTGTTGTTATTAATATTTGTGTTGTTGTTATGGTTGCTGTTTTAAAGGCAGAGTCTACTAATATTGAAAGCTGCTATTTACAAGTTTTTCTTCCTGTTTACAGATCAAGTGTTGAAACAGCGAAGGGTACAGCACTACGGTTATAGATTTTGCTATGATACTAACAATGTTGACCGTGCTAATCCCTTACCTGGCGGTTTGGGCTTGTATCAAGATATAGCGGACAAACTCTTGGCAGGTGGTCTAATTAAGAGCCCTCTAGACCAGCTTACCATCNNGGGATGTCATCACTGTCTCTTATACACATCTAGATGTGTATAAGAGACAGGCTTTACCTTCGTGCCCCTCCCCATCCCCCCACAATTCAAGACTTCTAGATACGCCACTGCACCAAAATCAACTATATTAATTTCTAAACTCTATTTCTTCTTTATCCTGATCACCTGATCTGTGCCTACACATACAATAAAATACAATAAATGACAAAAAATTTGAAGTCTTTTATGTGTGTTTTGATTTATTATATTTAAGATTACATTTAAAAACTATATCTGAAATATGTAATACCCAATATTATTTTATACAATATTATATTATCTCTAACTATTTTTTTAGATGCATATTTTAAATTCTAGTTTTTTTAACTATTAATGTATTTTTACTTTTAAAATTATATATTTTTGTGTCTTATACATTTTTTATGTTTTAAGATTATATTTAAATTTTTTTATTTCATTTTGCAAAGAAACAATTTTCCACATTAATTAATACTTACCCCGGTTTTTGGTAGGTTGTTATGCTATTTACCCACCCAAGTGGTCACCAAATACCTGTAGTTGTACCACCAAGAAGTCTGTTAATTTTTGCAGGTGAAGCTCGTTACCTGTGGTCGCATGGGTAAGAATCCAATCAAAACATGTTTATGATTTTACATATCACAGTGTATAGATTTTCCTTGGTTCAATTTCATGTTGTAAAATCATTCAATTTATTTAGTTTTATTTAGTTTATTTAAACACAATAATATTTCAACACAAAGGTTATTTTACAAACAGTCGTGCCTTGTAATGACTGGAACATCAAAGTATGTTTATAAAATGTCAAAATGTGATTAGTTTACTCCATTCGCCATTGGCCTCTAATTTTACCCGGCCTCAGCCTTGGTCCCCAGACCTTCTTTGTACACTGCTATTAAGACAATTGTTGATTAACATGTGATACACATGAGAAAGAGAAAAAGAAAAAAAAAAAAAAAAAGAAATAGCCTCAGCCAGGGCCCAGATCCTTTTTTTTACACTGCCAAAAATTGTTGATTACCATGTGATAAACAACATATCAGGGTTTGTTAAATTCTGACATAGGACATTACTGTTCTTTTTTAAAAATGGTGCATGACATTACAGTCGTGATACGCTCATTTTTTTTTTTTTTTGGGGGGGATGTGGTTGGGGGGTGCCGGGACCCATGTATACCCCTAATTTTTATGTGCTGATTATTTCCCAGGGAGCTGAGTATGTGACGTAGGTGACCTGGGTATTAAGTCTAGTGTCGAGTAAAGCACATACCCTTTTCACACTGTTAATTTCGGAGTGGTACCAAATACATTTCTAACAAAAAAGACTGGGTTGATCTCGAGTTATGCCCATCTTAAAACGACAACGAATGCATGTTCAATTAATACTGCCCTACAGACATTACACTACCCTAATTCTTTAGTTGATCACCAATCAAGGGTTTATGCAAAGAAATATAGGAATTTATGTATATTTCTGTATTTTAATTTGTGATGAAATGTTTTTTTTTTCTTTTGTATCTTTCATTCATCCAGAATTGTGTCTAGGAAAAGTGATGTTATACCAACCAAAGATGTATCAAGTGAGGGGGCTCTGACTGTTGTTCAAAGAAGAACACGTACTTCGTTTACATATAGATCTGTAAAGTGGACTCCTTGTCGATGCAGTTAGTTTTTTAAATACTTCAATGCTATTAAATTTCACACTAACACTTTTTCTTTTTTTATAAAAACTGTTCCATGCCCCTATGATATATATAGTCATGATGTGCCTATATATGGTCAAGATGGGATGTCATGACCATATTTAGTCATTTAAAAAAAAGTAAAACCAGGCACACACTATGAGATTTTTCTGTGAAGTTTTAACAGACAAATGATTAGATCAGATTTTATCTGATGAAGAATAGCGCTGTCAATTCAGGGGCCCAACAGAGGTATTTGGTGCCCGACGCAATTAATGGAATTGACGCCCAGTTGTAGCTCGGAGGTTCTTTGTTTTCTGTTTGTGGACACTGCATTTCGTCTGTACGGTATACTTGACATTTATTTATTTGGGTACAACCTTGCAAAATCTCATCTAGTAGTCCTATATAGTTTTGTTCATGCCAATTTTGTCACCCCCCACAGCTTGGTGTGATGATCACATGCCCTGTTCTGTTCACGCCTCTATGTCAAATTTTTTTTTTTTAAACTCATGTTGTATTGTTGAATATAAAACCCATGATTGTTTTTTAAAGAGTTCCCTGAACGATGCGACAGCCAAGGTTATCTAAAAACCTCTGAGAAAACTGGGGTCAACACCAAAGGCAAAACCCCTGTGAAGCTGCCGAGTTCAGAGTCAGAAGCAGCCAACCTGGAGGCCAATCATGTTCACACAGTGTATGACAGCATAGCTCCTCACTTCAGCGAAACAAGGTACAAGGCGTGGCCTCCTGTCGTTGAATTTCTTGAAACGGTACCAGCGGGTTCAGTACTATTGGATGTAGGTGAGGAACTATAGTATAAAAGAAAAGCACTATATCAGTCTCATTGAGCAAGGGTGGGCATGATAATGGGTCGGGTGTCAAACTGAATTCTTCATCTGAATTCAACACTGAGGGCCTCAATGAAGCAAATTTATAGTATGGTTGGCCATAGTATACTTTATTTTTATGGGCTGCCACAAATCTGCTCTTGGACCTTATGCCGTCTGTGGGTAGCACTTCGCCCATCTATACCACAGAGGACCCTAAAAAATGAGTGTAGAATCCAATATAATTTTTGGAAAAAAAGTCATGCCAGTGTCTTCAGGGTAATTGCTACTGTTTATTTGTACTGCATTTGTTTTTTAATGCAAGTGGAACTTCTTGTTATAATCTTGAGATAGTTTTATGGCATGTGCAATTCATTTGATGCTTTTTTACCAAAATTTCCGTCACCACAAAAATTACAGAAAAGGTAGTAAAGCCATTGAACAATAAAATGAATAGGTGGGGGCAAGTACAAACTTGGCCTGGCTTGCCCAAATGGCAATCACATATTTCAAAAATTATGTGAGCCAAGCGAGTTGAATGGCCAAGTGGTACAGGCGAGGCACCGTAACTATAACCAACAATAACGGCACAGGTTCGCGGCCGCCTCGCTGCTAGTTCCGGTGGTGGAACAAGACTTCTCGGATAAGGACTATAAACTGTAGGCCCAGTGTACACAATGCTCATGTGCACTTTAAAGAACCCAGTACATCTTTCGAGATGAGTAGGGGGTTAACCCGGTGTACTGGCCCATACGGCCCCTGTAGTCTTGTGATGGGATTGCCACTTTGAAGAGTGATTTAGTTCACTGTTTGTCATATTCTTGGCCCTTGTGCCTAAAGCTGAATAAAAAAAAACAAAAAAAAAAAACTGTACAGTAACAGATTGTCTATTTTTTAGTTCAGGTTTAGTGACAGGTCTATAGGCATAGCATCATATTTTGTATGCTTACTTTTTGAAGATTGTTCATATCTATCTTCAGCTTTATATGATGCATCCCATCATTCCCTTAAACTAGATTAACTCTTACAACTTTCATGGGAGATGACAGGAAAGAGTTTACATGCCTGCAAGCAGACAGACAGTAGATACAAAAGCTGATCAATTGGGACCATTGAAGGTCTACATTATAATTAACTCTCTTTCTGTTGATTAACAGTAGGTAACTGATATTTGGGACCTCTAAAGATATCTCTATCTTGAAGATGGCTATCTAAACTCATCTTGCAGTTCATTATAAAGTTGACACATAAACATACAATCAGAAAGTGTGAAAGAAGAAAACAATTGGATGTGGCCATCTGCAGCAGTTAATAATGAGTAGGTTTAGACCATAGATCACCATTTACCCACATTAAAGACAATATAAAGAAAATTCAAAACATCACTACATAGACATATAACTTTTTGTATGACAATTCTATGTATGCTTATTTATTTCTAGGCTGTGGGAATGGAAAATACCTTGGAATTAATTCAGAAATTTATAAGGTAATGGCTACTTGTGTCTATAATTTTATAATGGAATGTCCTATTGTACCTTATTATAATGTAATGGCATAAGGCCATTAATAATAATTGGAAGTGTTTACTAATATGGAATGATTTATAATATTGCATAATACCTTATATATACAACAATTGATTAATAAATAAGGATATGGCATATATAATCAAGGTTTATAATACTGAATCTTGATTTTTATTTAAATTTTAAATTTATTTATTTTTTTTTGTAATTTGTGTGACTGTGGCTAGACGAACCAGTAGGGCTACCGTGATAATAAGTCATTTTTTATTGACTGCGGTGTCATTTTTTAAAGTTTTTATGATATGCATGCTGTTACCATTCCCTTTACCACAATACCCGTTTCAGCAATAGCTCTGACGGGTTGAGGAACCACACTTTGTACTGACCTTAACTGACAATCAAACTCAATCAAAAAAGAGAACAAAATTGGTAATTAGTTTTCCAGCAAGTTGTCAATAAATCGCATAGGCATACCTATGGTATGGCATAGTATAGCTGACCTTGCATGGGCAATAAATTACAGAAGCTATGATTATAATAAAAATATAGAGCAATTACCAGAGAAAGGCCTAATGTCCCAAATGATGGTTGGAAATCAGAAAAACTTTTAAAGGGTAGAAACACATCATGTTTTATTATCAAACCAAATAAGTAATGATTAAAATGTTAGATATTGTTATAATATTTGTTTCTGATAGTTTGGGTGTGACCGCAGTAGGAATCTCATTGGCATATGCCGTGAGAAGTCATACCAAGCCTTTGTATGTGACTCGCTTGCCCTTCCAATCCGCAGTGATTCTTTGGATGTCTGTATTTGTATTGCTGTTCTTCATCACTTTACCACTTTGGTAAGTCATTGGTTTGTTAAAGCTCTGCTCACACTATCAAGTGGTCAAACAAAATAGAGGGCAGCATATTCATGTTGAAAAATTGTCTTAAGGGCTTAAACCCTGTCCATTATCAATTTGTTTTTGACAAAAAACTGCTATATGCCCATATATGGTTATGATGTCGCTATATATGATCATGAAGTGATGTCATCATGACCTTATTTATTCATGTCAAATGTTTATGTCAAATTTTGTCAAATTTGATACTTTTGACAGGGCTTTAGATCCTTATATTTAAAATCCCACATCCTACGAGTGTCAGAAATTATTTGCACTATTAACACTGTATATTAGGCAAAATAAAACAAAATATTGTGTTGGCCACGCCCGACCGACCCAAATTTTGCGAAATTAAAGATCGACATTTTTTTTTTTTTTTTTTTTTTTTACAACGAAGGATATCTTTTTTTTTTCGTGAGTTAATAAAGCTGTAATAGCTTTGGACTAGGCTAGGGGGTCATGGCCTAGCCTATTTTGCTGCATAGCACCCAATGCGAATCAAAAATGTTTGTATTATTTGTGTATTTTCTACTGTTTTAAGCATAAATACAATTTTGGTTTAAAAAAAAGTCTTCCTACCGACCTAACGATTTTTTGGGTTTTTCAAAAATGGTCTTATAATAATAACAACAAAATTACAACAAATATGATGATGATGATGATGACACAGAGATCTGCGATGTTAACAATGAGGATGCTTTATGACAAACAGCGAAATCAAAATGAACTTGTATAGTGCCTTACACCATAAAAATCGTCTCAAAGCACTTAAAAAATCTGAAAAAAAAAGAGAGAAAATTAACCCATAAACTATCTTCAAACTAATCAGAAAACAATTTACCAAAGAAATGAAAATTAAAAATGAGCCATGACAGTGCATAAGATATTTAAGTTATTCCAAGATAAAATTGATTCCTTTAAAAAGTATATTTTATTAGCACATATACTGCAAGTATTGCACCTTATTCATTGAGATCCCATCCTAAGAGCCTAAATCTATTATTAGCATATTAGGCACTTTATAAACAGGTAATTATTTACTTTGGTTGTTTCATTGACTCTGCCACTTTACATTTTTTTAGGAAAGAAGACTACAGGGGCTTATGGAAATTCTGCGTGTTTTGCGACCTGGTGGTAAGGCTCTTGTTACTGTGTGGGCAATGGAACAAGAAAAAAACAAGACGAAATCTACATACTTGAAAAAGGTGACAGCAGATGCCAGACATGGTGGTCAGTCATATAAAATGGATTTAAAGGAATTTAATGAAGTTTTAAATGATACAGATACAAGCAAAGATGATAGTGATATGTACGGAGAGACTGCAAAAGTAGAAGATCTAAGTATTTCTAGTTTAAGTATAGAACCATCAAGATCACAGAAAGCATCTGCTACATCAGAGGATACAGTAAATACCGATCTTAGCGTCCACTCAAACAGAACTCAGTTCAAACAGCAAGACATGCTCGTACCTTGGCATTTTAAGAAGCCTGGGGAGAAAGCTACCAATGAAAAGGACTTTCAAGTTTACCACAGATTCTACCATGTGTTTGTAGAAGGAGAGCTCGAATCTTTATGTCTACAATGCCCTGGCATTCAGATTGAGAAGTGTTATTACGTGGAAGGGAACTGGTTTATAATACTTAACAAAAATCAAAATGATCATACAAAATAGAGGGCAGCATCCATGTCGAAACAATTCAGAGTTGTGTGTGCACAGGCTATAATATACAGTGAACCCACTTTTGCCGACAATGGCAGAATTTTGCATTATAAAACTGAAAACTATCTGAAAAAAAAAATGAATTTTTCAGTTTACATGCTGCATATTTCTCCGTTAGAAGAAGTGGTACATACCACTTAAGTTCTTGACAAAAACTTAGGTAATACATCTTGCTGGTATGTTGCAGGTCTTTGGGTTCTTAAATTTATTTATAGCCAATGAAGCCCATGGGATTACCTTTAGAAGTGTGTGATTGTATTTGGTTGATTTGTTTACATTCCGATGGCTACAGTATAATGTCACCAGCCAGTCATATTTAGGACTCTCTTGTTAACTCCCAATGGACATTCTTAGAATCAATTAAGTTTATGGAGCTGCTGACAGCTCCCTCTGGACCATGAGAAAGATCACTCACAACAATCTGACAGCTCAATAGACCATTTCTGCTAAGGGGAACTTTTGCCTCATGTACCCTAAATTGGAATTGTTGCACAAAGAATTAAATTGCAAAAATTCATTTGCTTGAGAACCTGAAAGACAATGGATCTTTCCACTAAACATCTTTCTGGCGCTGTTCTGATTGGTCAGTTGTTAAGTTTGATTGACACTCCAGAAAGGTCTATTCGATCCTAAGTGTAAAAATTCTCTATAGAAAATGAAATTAAGAGTACAAAAAGTGAAGCTATATGCTAGGCTTTTCACACAGCCAGTGTTTTAGGCCATAGAGTGGTAGTGCTAGCTAAGTCTAGGTCTGAAATCGAGAGTCCCTACCAAAATTAGGAGCTCTAGTTAAAATATAAACTAAAAAATCATAACTGTAGGTTTCTGCATCATGTTAAAAACGACAGGAAATTATGAAATCCCGAATGTAAAAGGCCGCAAAATGTTTCAATTGGTAAAATTGCCAAAATATAGGGCTGCAAAAATAAAAGGTTGTACAGTATACTAATTGCCTTAAATCAGTCAATCACCTTTCTTTTTTCAGTATATGAACCTCTCGGAGAGGGTTTTGCCCATGTTCATTCTGTTATCATTGCAGATCAAAACAAGGTTTTTATTGTTGATTCAAAGACTAACCGAAAAATAGTCAATCGTATCTATGGGTTACCCAGTCTTCCAATCTTGACTGGGAACCCATCAGACTTTAGGTGTTATCATAAGAACGATTGGATGTCATAATCAGGAATTAATTATAAAGCTGTCTTTCTCATTCGCTAAGTATAGGAATATGGAGTGCCTTCGTTTTCGTGTTTTTGATCATCCCTTATTGGTTCGTTTATTATGTATCTTTCTTTTTTGTGTTCCAGTTTGTGTTCCAAAGACGAAATACATGAAATCAAACTATATTCTAGTGATGGGTATGTGTTTTGACTAATCACTTTGCACAAAATTGAAATATTTACGATAGTAATTTACGAGGAACTTATATTACGGCAAATAATGCTAAGAAATATGGCTGTGAGATCTGTGGCTGATGCAGCATTATTTTGCCGGAGTGGGTGGCGAGAGCAGCAACTGAGGCGGACCTAAGGTCCAAAGGGACGCCACCTATTGTCGAGCAGGTAATTTTCTGGGTGGTGCATGCTGGACTCAGAAGAACCGCATTGGCCACCTATGGACAGACAATGCACATTACTTTTGCATTTATTCCTGCTGAAAATACGTAAACATACAAAAACGTAATGTTAACTACTTTTGAATATACTTAGAAATACCAAAAAAAAATAATATAAAATACTGTGTGGTTAGAGTCGTACAAAGATATACAGGTCAAAGCTGGCACTGATTACTAGTGGCAGTAACATTTAAACCCCTTAAACCATAAAGCCTTGAAATGAAGGATTTTCAAAGCATATTTACTATTTCCAGACTTCTAGAGGAGCCTTTGACCATCTAAATTTGGACAACAGCAACTTCGATTGGTTCATCATACAAAAAAATAAATATATAAATGAGGTAAGGAATTAACCTGCTGGTTGCTATAGCTATTTTCAAAATTTTGGAGGTCCTTAGGATCGATTTCAAAGACATTGCAGCATCAAATTCAAATATTACTGGAATGCAGACAAAGTTTTAAAATTAGTACAAAAGATAATTGACGTAACATTACACAGTAAATGGAACAAACACAACGGGAAGTAATTCCGGCGGCATGATTCTTTTCACTGTTTGCTTAACAGCCTTGTACGCCTACAAGCGTGGCAATGACTTCAAATTGTATACCTGATTTTATTTCAGATCATTGTGATTGTATGCTTGTATCAAAATACACCACATTGTAATTTAGTTGTTGACACAGAAATGACGCAAAAATCATTGTCATGGGACTACCGTGCATAATAAGTGTTTTAATGCAATAGTTGGAAAACTTTTTGGCCCATGACCCAGAAAGCATTTAAACACCACTAGATGTAGCTCTGTTTCTAATACGTCTATTGGGTATAGAGTGAGTAGAACAATTTTTAATTGTGGATACGGCTGAAAATAGTAGGGCTTAATAAATTATATTAATACTTTGTTTGTTTTATTTACCAACACTATAGTGGCGGATTCAATGGGGTGGGGGGTTGGCTACATTTCAACAAGAATGGAGATTAACAGAAAATTATATTCAACAGTTTAGGTCTGAGAGAATACCATTTCCGAAGACCTAGAGGTTCCTAATCATAAATTCACTTACCTCAGCCCCAACCATAGCGGGGCCGATGTGGTATAAATCCTCCTTATGTAATGTAGTCCCTCCCTGGGCACCCTTTATTTCAAATTTCTTGACCCGCCACTGCTCTATAGTACATAGATTAGTGACAAAAAGTGAATTGACGAAACAAAAACAACTTGGAAAAAAATCGTGCCGCCGAATTCCACTTCGCTGTGTTCCATTTACTGAGGTTTGCTAGGTCAATAGCTTTGTACCTATATATTTACAACTTTCTTTGCAAGTACTTTTATGGGTATACTAACAACAATTGATTTCTCCCTGAAATGTGTTTTTTTGTTTTTTTTTTTTTTTTTTTTTTTTTTATATGTTGGTTCCTCCGTACTGTGCGCTCACCGTCCTCGAACGAAAGCTCGGTAATGCTGTCTGAAGGAGGGGCTTTATATTTGACGATATAACTCCATTGTTACATCTCCTAACACAGTCTTGGTAACCTGAGTGAACAAATGTTCCATCAGCAATGTAAACTATTGTATAGCCACGTCTACAAATTGAAAATGAACTGTACATTACCCTATGTCAACAAAAATATATGAATAGACGTTGTATAAAGACACTGCAACGAAGTTTAAATTATTATATTGGAACACCCTTGGATACACACTGATCAGACCTGATTATGAAGATTCATCGACTTACTTCTGTACTGTTTTTTTTATTTCAACAATGTTTAAGCCAAGGTAAAACAATGCACTTATTAATAAAATTAAGCAGTGTATAATGGTTAGCGTTATGGTTATTATTATGGTTATTTGGACATCATATTCAGGGAATTCAAATGTCACAACACAAATCCTCTCAAAGTGTATACATTATTTCCAGTTAGTCAGGTGTCATTATTCCCTCGTTAAAGAAAACTTCTCGCGATAACATTGCTCAGTTCTCCCTTCTGCAAAACAATGCAAGCTATAAGAGAATGTTGCAATCAACCATTGTATAACTGCATTTAGGTTAGATGCCATTGATGCTAACTCTATTAATAATTACTGTTATTATTTATCTCCTTAGATATTTTCTTTCCTTACGGAACAGCTGAGGGTGACATTGCTCTACCTACCAATGATGATGGAAGCTCTGGTATTTATAATCTATCAACATTGTTTCCGTTTTTTGATCATGATCATGACTTCCTTTACGTAAGTTTGAATTTCAACATAATAAAAATAATTTTGGAAAATTAGGGTAACGTTTATTCCATTAGCATTGCGACTATATTCATTGTCTTATTGTAAGACAATTGAGTCTAATTTTTGCCCACCATAAATTATCAAATGCCACTGCATAGACTTGAATTCATTATATAATATAATATTATATATATATATATATATATATGTATGTATATATATATATATAATAGGGTAATAATATAATAGGTAAGGGTGGGGAATTGTGGATAGTATCCAATTAGAGACCACCCACAATAAATCGATTCTACTGACCAGTCGTTGGCAGAGAAATCTAAATTGCGCCTTCCTTGTTCTTCCCGCGATGTTGTGAATGTAGCTTTTCCATTGTAGTATTTCACCTATATTGTTTTGTGTTTTTATCAATGAGTTTGCCAGAATTTTGAGATCCAGTAATATTGGAGTGAGAATTAATGACATCTGGTTGGGGGGACTATTCTGGGCTGATGACGTTGTCTTGATCGCTGACAATGAACGCGCGATGACCAAAATGCTTGATTTAGCATCTCAATTTGCTAAAACATGGAAGTTACAATTTAATTACAATAAATCGAATGTCATGGTTACTGGCAAACGTATTGATAAAACAAAACTATGGAAATTAGGCGATCATTATATGAAGTTGACTCTTATAAATATTTAGGTGTGTTCATATCACGAAACTTAAGTGACCACCTTCATTTTGAAAATGTTGTTAAGAAAGGTAATCGCCTTATTGCTTACATTAAATCTATAATTGACAATTGTAATGATTGTAATAGAGTTTATTATGGGGACATTTTATGGAGAGCAATTGCTCTACCATCAATCAATTATGCAAGTTCTGTGTGGTGTAGCAATAGCAAAGATGACATTGATAAACTTGAGAAGCTACAACTTCTAATGGCGCGATGTATTCTAATAGCATCCCGCAACACCCCTCAAACAGCCTTATATGGTGATCTTGGTTGGACACCTATATCTGACATCCACAATAATTTTAAAATTAATTATTTAGATCGAGTCCTCAAATTGGATCTAAGTCGTTGGCCAAGGCTTCTACTTAACCCGATGATTGGCTTTAATTGCAATTTTAGGGACTTTAGTTATAAATTTTTAAGTTGTGTAGAAACTATTTTTCATAAAGGCAAAGCTAATGATTTATTTGATCATATCCATAATGCCAAAGACATACCCAATCCATATTGGGCTTTTGCTATCAAGCGAGCTCTTAGTGAAGCCTCTGTTCATAGTTGGAATGAAGAAATGGTTAGTAAGTCTTCGCTCATTGATTACGCCACTTTAAAGAAATCCCTAACTCTAGAGAGTTACTTGTTAGACAGTACAGATTTTGAGGGCGTAAACATTAAGTTTATATTGCGCTCAAATACATTCCCCCTCGAGGGTAGGATTTGTAGCTGGACGCCTGGAAGTAGTGGTATATGTACAATTTGTGATGACAATTGCCAAGAAAATGTCAGGCACTTCTTATTTGAAATGTATTGCTTTCAATAATTAGATCCAACGAATTTGCCAGATTAAAATGTACTCTTCAACTAAGAAACTACCATCTTTTTTGGGATATATTTTCTAATGCGAATAATGATGTTAAACTTAATATTATGCTTGGGAGTGATTATTACTCTTTCAATAAGGATGTTAACACTCTATTTGATAAGTTTTGCAAAGCATTTGCTAAACAGGCTTGGATAAGGTGTTCTATTCTTATGAACATTTCTATATGAAGATGTTTTGCTCTGTATTGTAGTGTTTAAGATTTCTTAGACTTTTATGTTGGGCATTTACATATACTGAAGTTGTATGTGTGTACAGGGTGATGGGGTGCGTGTGTATATATGGGGTGGTGGGGGTGGGTGTGTTTATTGGTTATGTGAATTTGCTTAGACTAGTAATTTTGTTCTTTGTAGACTGGTTTATTTAGTAGGTTTTTGTTGCTTGGTTTATCTGAATTTGTTATTTTGGAACTCACCGTCCTTTGACGTGTGCCACTGATGTAAAAGTGTATGTTCGAATAAATTATTATTATTATTATTATTATTTTGTAGGTAATGGTAATTATTGTTGTATTTTTTACATAACCATTATGTAAAGGGACAGTGTAAAGGCTGCTTCCGTAAACTGGTAGGCTAGTATTGTGGCTAGGCTGTGTTTTGTTGACAAGTCGGTAGTGTGGGTAATTGTGGACGGGCTAGAGGGCGCTGTTGTTAATAATATGAACTCTATGCCTGTGTATGATTGATTGGTGCTGTTGACGATATGGCCAGGACATAATTGAATTCAAATAAGTTAATTATTATTTTTTTTTTTTTTTTTTGTATATTATTTTTGAAGTCTTTTTGAACTCTAATATTATTTTAGAAGTCTGTCTGAACTCTATAAGTACACTTATTAATGTAAAATGTTAAAACATACCAAAATTTCATTTTATAACACAATACATCAATGAAAAAAAAAAGAATGTACTGGCCACAATTACATACACCCGTAGGTAATTGTGGACACTTGACCCTAGTGTAATTAATGCTTGTTAGCTAATTAAATAATAATCTGATAATCCTGAGTACATATTGGCTGTACACGGTAAAGGAGTGTGTGTGGTGTTTCTTTTCTAGTATCTTTTAGGTTTACGATGATTTTGGGCTTCTACTTTCTGTACACAGACCTTGAGCTACTGCATTGGATGTCATTGCAAATGTGTTAATTGAATTTTATTTGTTTCACTGTTGTATTTACATTTTTGAATAAACCTTTTTACGGTAGTTTAATGTTGTGATTAAATGTGTTTCGTTTTTTATTGTTTGTGCATATATATATATATATATACTGTCT